GGGTTCTCGACTTGTTGTGGATTGAGTTCGTACTGGACACAACAAGTGGGACATTTGGATGCTTTGGTATCGGCTCAGTTTTGGAAAAACTTCACCGAGGTGGAGAATTGTGAACGTGGGGGCCACCCACGTGATTTTGTAAGCCTTCGTTTCCTTTCTGCGTGAGATTTTGGGCCGCTAATCTCATATAAATACCAACTATGTTTAGCCTAGGGTTAATAGCAAGGCAGGTGAATAATTCAAGGCGGCTGCAGAGGGTTTCGCGAAGGATGAAATTACAAAGAAAAAAAAGTCGGCTGACTTTTCTCTTGGCGGCGGACGAAACTGCAGAAGAAAAAACAAACTTGCTGTTTTTTAGTTTTTTGTGTATCCATTTAAGAGAGTATTTGTGTGAGGGATCTGAGAGTTTGTGTGAGGGTTTAGATTGTGTGATTGTAAACCCTAGTTGTATCTCTCCCTCTAATAGTAGATCTCCTTCTCCTTGCCCCGTAGACGTAGGCTATTTGCCGAACCACGTAAAAGTTATATTTTTGCCATGATTTGTAATAGCTTGTAGGATCCCTCGACAAGTCAGTCCTAGAACTGATGAGAGGAAGAGCCGATATCTCACTTTGTTGAGATATTCGCTTCAGATTCTTGTTTCCTTGGTGAGACGAGAATTCTTACGATCTAATCTCTTGTTGTGCACCTTGCACACCGGAGGTGCTGCCGAAATTTCTACTATGCACAACATGTTTTCCGTCTCTTGTATATAAGAAGTTCACTTTTCTTTTCTATTTATTGTTACTGTTACGTACCTGTAGTTAACTCTCGAGGGAGGAAACATTGTGCACCCATTATTTTGTAGTAAAATATTTTTTGAGTTAGGTCCCTTGTTTTTACTTTCAGAGGCCGTTTGGTTGGTTTCCTAAAAACCAAGAAAAGGAAATCGGTACAAGGAAACCAATAAAATAATAATTTTATCCGTTTTCATCCCTAAAACTCACCCACAACATCCAATAAAATAATATTTTTATCCTCCAACTCATCTTATTTCATTTCATTTCTTATCTTTAAAAAAAACCAAACGCAAGAAATGTGTCATATCATCCAACTCATCACATCTCATCTTATCTCATTTTTAAAAATCACACACATCATCCAATAATATTGTGATAACTCATCTCATCTCATTAAACCTTCCTTTCCATCCATTTCCTAAAAAAAACAAGAAATTGATTTCCTTAAGTATGTGTCACATCATCCAATAATATATATACCTCCAACTCATCTCATATAATCTATTTTCGTATTTTTAAAAATGAACCAAACACAAACAACCTCAAAACATCATCCAATAATATACCTCCAATTCATTTCCTTATTTTTTAACCAATCAAACAACCTCAAAACAAGTTTTTTAAAAATATCACTCACATCATCCAATAATAAGGTGACAACTCATCTCATCTCATCTCATATTCTATAGTTTTCTTCTTTTTTAAGCCAACCAAACAACATCAAAACAATTATTATAGGAAATAGGTTTCCTATTCTTTGATTTCCCAATTTTTTTTGCGAAACGAACAGCAATGGAAAAGTTTTCCACGTGAAAAATACCGGTGTCATGCGGATAATTTTCTTTAATCTTTTTTTAACTATTTGGCTTATTAACATATATTATTTACAAATGAAGGAAAACGATCTTTTAATGACTCCTTTTCCCCCAACCAGGGCCGTACCTAGGAATTTCGGGACCCAAGGCGAAATATTAGATGAGGCCTAAGTGATACAACTCATAATATATTTTATCTCATTCTTCTTACATTTTGAGCTGCAAAATTACTAATTAAAGTTTTATGTTCAATATTTTCTAACATATTATTTTCGATAGATTTTTGAGCTGCAAAATTACTAATTAAAGTTTTATGTTCAATATTTTCTAACATATTATTTTCGATAGATAATATTGCTAAACCATTCAATCTATCTTGTAACATGGTTGATCTTAAAAAAGATTTTAGTAATTTTAATTTTGAAAAATTTCTTTCAGCGGAAACAACTGTTACAGGTATAGTCAATATAGAGTGTTTGGCAACATAATAGAGTATAATTCATCATTATTGTCAAAAATGACCATAAAAAATTACTTGGTGGTGAGACGCCAAATGATATGCAAGAATTTATAAAATCATAAACAATATATTGGTCTCTTACTTTGTCAAACTATTAAATAATATAGTTAGACTATTTGTTTTCTTTTATTTTTGTTCCACTTATAATACTAGAACATTTTCTCATTGCTTTTGTACATAAACTTCTCAATACCGTGTATGGACAAGATCTCTTTAATCTCTCTATATTTATAATTTGTCACGACGTTAGAACCCTTGATCAACAACTTCACCAAATCCTAACCACACATCCAATTTCTCATGGGCCTCGGCCTCACCTTCACTCACGCAAAATTAGGGCGGAGGTGGGGCCCACATGAAATCCGCGCATATCTCTCAAGCTGACATGAAGAGTCACATGTCGCCTCGTTCCCATTCCAAACTCGCAACAACCTGCCGCCACAGCTTCCATCTTAACCTCTCGAGCTAGATCCCACCGCCAACCCTCTACTAACTCCACCGCTGCGAATCCAACGTCTGCATGCTCCATCCTCTGTCCAGTGAGAGCTTGATCAACCACCAAGCTGAGCTCTCCCGACTGGGCCCTACCCAGGATGAGGCCCAAGGCAGAGGCCTTGACTGCCTAAGGACAGGGCCGACCCTGCCCCTAACTATTTTGTGCTAGATGCTCAAAGTTCAGGGAGTTTTTTAAAATTAATTTACGTGAATACGGACAACAACAATAATGATAACTATATGATGGGTTTTAGGGTAGGTCCCTACTTAATCGGTAATTACTGATATTTTAGTTCAACCACTACTACAAAACAGGCCAGTCCCAACGGTTCTAACCATTAGGGAAGACAATGACCCCAACGGTCAAAACCGTTGGGCCAAAAAAAACACCCGTTAGGACAAATTGCATTGAGGCAAAGTGAGCCCCAATGATTGTTTTATCAGCATCAACGATTACATCTGTTGGTGCTAATAATTTTTTAATTTTAATTTTAAAAATATAAAAACCAGCACCAATGATTGAAAACAAAGCCTTACCTCCTCAGTCAAATGTCAAATGGTAAAAATCTTTTGAAATTTGTCAATTGGTTTGGCCCTATGAATCCACCTGGCCAAGTCTAGCAACAGCCACGAGTGGGTTCACCCGCCATGAAATGTGTCCCTACAAGGGCACTGTAGGAACACATGTCCCTGCCATAGCGTGAGTGAGGCACACTCACGACTGTGGCTAGCAGTCCTCGTATCCACCATATCGTACTTACTCTATGATGTATCTTCAAGTAACCCCGAAATACCCCCGCCTTCGTTGATAATTATTCTTTAAAATTTCTAAAACTCTCTCTTTTTGGTAAAAGTTAAATGTTGGGGTTGGGCTAAATCATGATTAGCAAATTCACGCTCCTATCCAGGAGAAATCAGACACATGCTTGTGCGGTGCTCTGACTATCGCGAAATATAGAAGAAATTATAGTATCACTCGTCTCCAAATTTTCATCTTGGGGATCAGCGAATCCGAATTCTTTGTCGGTTCTTAGACGAAATCAGATGATGATAAGAATGTTTTTTGCAACTTTTAATAATTTTTTTTTTGAACTTGTGGTAGATCGAAGCAAATCCTAATGTGTTTTGAGATGAAACTAAACCATCCCTGCTTTCCTCAGATGCTTCTCTTTCTTTTGCCCTGTCTCAATCTAATTGATACCATAATCTCCAGGTATTAGTCACAACCTCATTCAATCTCCAAATCCAGTTACATTACGACTCAGATACCTACCCAAAGCCTAAATAAAATCCACAAAAATGGAACCTATAGAATGTTAGAAAAATGATTGATGTTTAGACCGAAATAAGCGCAAAAATATTAGTTTTAAACAGTTAATCAAAATTTGATAATGTCGGACTAATATTATAATTCTGAAATAAAATTAATTTAAAAAAAATAAATCAAGTTTAGAAATACGGTCTGATGATCAAAGCGTGCACTAAGCACTGTCCCAAGAATCTAATTGCCCCCTCTCGTACAGGGCTTTGTGGCAATGGATCTTGGAGATACGACGACCCTCGGTCAGGCGACCTCCTTCTCGCCTAAGCAATTTTTTGTATAAAATGTCAAAGCTAATTTTTCTATGTGATGTATTATAGCCGAACCATTTTGTGACAATAATGATACTTGTAAAGACAAAGAATCACCACAAGATTAAGGTGTATTATTTACTTGATATATTTATGGGTCATGGCTTCTTGAGAGAACATTTCTCACAATTGGTTGCTTTTGTTTGGAGAGTGATGCGTCAATTGTTTTGTTTTGTTTTGTTTTCTTTTTTTTTTGGCCATTTGGATGTTGCAATAATTCATAGAGTAGCACTACCTTTGTTTAGCGTATGGGGTGAATACTAGTTACATTATAACTCAAAAAAAAAAAAAAAAAAAACCCTAATTAAAATCCACAAAAATGAAACCTACAAAGTATCTACAATTTTCAAGCTAACATTCTAACCGGCTGTGAGTGGTATATATCCACTTATTCTATAAGTTGCGATTTTGTCAACCAATAAAAGCTCTTATATACGACTAAAAAAATTAATACAGGTCTGGGCATTTCTTTGAATCCAACTAGGCCATGGGCCTGACTCAAGCCCAATTTGTACCAGAACCCTTTGAGATCTACGCGTATCGCCCTCAAATTCAACAAAGCACCAGCCGTCGGAACAAGAAAACAAACAAAAATCAAGTTCGTTCGCTTTCGAGTCAAAGATAATAACCAATTACTCAAAAAATCAAAACAAAGTAGTCGCTCGTATTTGTTTTGCTCTGGAGCACCCCGACGTTGAAATCTCGATCTTAATTACCTTTAACCCCACGCGCTCTCAAATGTGGAAGTATTGTTATGCCATCACCTCACACCTAACTAAACTCAAATCATTATATAATGACGTAGAGAGAGCATTTCTTTCCTCTTCGTGCTTTTTCTCACTTTTTTTGACTGCAACGGAGAGAATGGGGAATTGGGACTCGAGCTCTCTTCTTCTGCTGTTGGTAGCTGCAGCTTTTTGCGGTGTTAATGGAGCAGAGGAGGAGTATATCTCTGCTGTTGGGGATCCGGGGATGAAGAGAGATGGGCTGAGAGTTGCTCTTGAGGCCTGGAACTTCTGCAATGAGGTGGGCCATGAGGTTCCGGGGATGGGAAGCCCAAGAGTTGCTGATTGCTTTGATGTTGAGCGGATCCCCGATCCTTCAGGTTTGATTTCATTCTGTTGAGTTTGATATTGTTTCAGTATTAGAAGAATTGGGTATTGATCAATTTGAGTTTTTTGAGGAGAGGAAATTCTTCTTTTAATCTTTATGTTCTTTTTTCTTTCCATCTTTGCTCGTTCTGTAGTTTTTGTTTTTTTATTGGACTTGGTATTTAAAATTAATCAAGTTTATGAGGACACAATGAGATTAGGTATTCGGTGAAGTTTTTTCTTTGGAGTGTAACTTGTAAGATTGTGTTGTTTATCTCATTTTGAAGATGACATCAATTTAAGTATTAGGAAAATTGGGTGTTGATCATTTTTGTACTTTGGAGCAGAGGAAATTTTCTCCTGCCGCAAGTATCACATTCCTTTTTCTTTCCATTTTTGACATTTGTTCAGTTAAGGTACTTTCTTTTTATTTGTCCTTTTTTTTAAATATTTTGGGGTTGGTGTCTGAAAATGTTTGTGCAGATTGTTTTCCTTTTTTTTTTTACACGAATAAATTTGTGATGGTTTTAGCATGATAGAATAGTATGGTGAATTGCATTTGTGATACTAGAGTAGATCTTAGCATTATCTTCATGAAAGTAGGTATCTGGTAAAGTTTTTATTTATTGAGGTGTTTTCTCCGTGGTTATTTTACTTCTTAAAGTTTGCAGCCTCTGTTTCTTAGAACACTGCAGATGAATTCTTAGCTAACTTAACTGCAAATGTTTGGACAAACTTAAAGAATTGGTGACATCTACTTTTGTTTTATTTTTTTTGCAATTTAGTTTATCCCTGCAACAAACGTGTTGAAATTAGTCTTTCTTATCGTCGAAGCAGTAAAGCTAAGACTAGTTCTTTTATTTTGAAATTGAATATTTTTGCAAAGAAGAAATTTTTAAAACAGCCTCAAACCATGTTTTAATTTTCAAAACCGACCCACTTTTTTTTTTTGCCAAAATCGACCCACTTTTTGCCACGTAAGCTTAATCCTTTTCCTAAACAGTCGGGGTTGACAACCCCGACTATTTGTCAACCCCGACTGTTTAGAAGGTTGTTAAACCCCAATTAGAAGCCTTAAACCCGATTTTTTATGTCCTAAATAGTCGGAGTTGGCAACCCCGACTAATTAGAAAATGAGATTAAACTGACGTGGCAAAAAGTGAGTCGATTTTGGTAAAAAAAAAAAGTGGGTCGGTTTTGAAAATTAAAACATGGTTTGAGGCTGTTTTTAAAATTTCTTCCTTTTTGCAAAACGTAACTATCATCCTGGCAATAATTGGTTGGGTAAAGTCTTGTCAAAATCAAACTTTCTGTTTCAGAAACATAACCTATAACCTACATTCCGTGTTTCTAAAATTTTCAAAGTTAGATAAAGTTGCTTACCTATTAACATTCTTTGCTTGTACTGGTATTTATCTTAGCCAGGCTAATGCTCAACATTAAAAATACTCATCCATATGAAAATGCTAATTAATTTTAGAATAAGTTTTAAGAAGAACAAAAATTGGGTTACTTGTCAATTTACACGAGTATTTCCTAGCACTTTGATGTCACTGACTGACGACATACTTGCAGATAAAGGTGAAGATGAAGATGACGATGACATATGCGATGCAAATTACAAGATTATCCACAGAGTAAGAGAAGTGGATAACAAGCTAGGTACCAACGATCCTCTAAGTGCAGACACCTACGCAGTTCAGAAGGAGTTGTATTTAGGCCAAAAATGTGAAGTTACAGATGATGATCCTAAACATCCATGGCAATTTTGGATGATCATGCTCAAGAATGGGAACATGGACACCTCAGCGGGTCTCTGCCCGAAGGATGGCAAGAAAGTGGGCCCCTTTCCACCGGAATCAAGATTCCCGTGCTTCTCTCCGGGGCATTGCATGAATCAACCTTTGATATATCATAACTACACTGATATTGAGGATGATTCAACGATGAGGGGGGGTTTTTATGGAACTTGGGATCTAGATGCTGATTTGTCGAAGGGTTTGAACAATGTCTCGTATTATTCGGTAACTTGGGAGAAGGAGGTTGGTGAAGGTGGATGGAAGTTTCATCATGTGCTCAAGACTTCTCATAGGTATCCGTGGCTTATGTTGTATTTGAGGTCAGATGCTACAAAGGGATTATCTGGAGGGTATCATTATCCTACAAGGGGGATGTCGAAGATCGTAAGATATATCCATCTTTTTCTTTACAATTTTTATCTTTACTTATTTATTTATCTTATTTCTGCAATTTCTGTGACATAAATTTCAGCATTACTGAATTTTCTCTAGAACTTGGAAAGACGAGAACTTTGCCTAGATGACATACTCAAGCCATTTCTTTTGTTTAATTACAATTGCAATCTTGTAGCTATGATAAGCTTCCCTTTTTCAATGTTCAACTATGATCATATTCTTTTCATCCTCTCCTCTTTATATGAACCAGACTGTAAGGTATAAGATTATGATTATGATCACTGTTGAATTTTCACTTTATTGGAGCTTCACTTTTGTCCTCACATTTACTGAATTTTCTCTTTGAAAGCTTCTCTTGATTTAGTGCCAGAAACAGAACAACTAGAGAGTGAGATTTATGCTTCTAGGGCGCCCCTCTAGAGGTTAATATGATATTTTCCTCCTTTTTTCTATTCTAGGTTTATATACGAAGTAAAACACTTTCCCAATCTAGGGGAAGATTATAAATCACAAAGTCACAATGTACCCTAAACTATAGACAAATTCTTCAATTTAGTACCAGGACTTCCAGTCAAGAAAACACCCTGTCGACAACTGGTTTATTCATGATATATAGCATAACACCTTCAGCAAGTATTAACCATTAATTCACAATATATCATAAACTTCTCACAACTTAAGTCTTTTTGTAACACTTGTGGATTATTATCTCACAATGATATGCTCCAACTTTTATTTATTTCTGGTGCCGTCCTCATAGTTGTTACCGTCTGAGCAATTTCGTCTTTTGAAACTATTTTCAAATGATTTTTGTTTATTTCCAAACTAATCAACCTTATCCATTCTCAAACTTTAGTACAAAATTTTTTTTAATGAAAGAGGTTCCTAATTTCTCCTTTTCCTCTTATTCCATGCTGATAGGCATCATTAATAGTGACATCAATGCTAGTGCTACATTGTTTACTTGTTGTCTTTGAAAATATAAGCTAATTTTTTCCCCTATTTTGAAATATATCTAGAATTCCAAATCATGAACCTTATCATGTTTAAAATTTAGTGACGACTACTTACTAAAAAAATTTGATATATGCACAGATTCCACAATCTCCCAACTTCAAAGTTCGACTAACCCTAGACATAAAAAAGGGGGGAGGCCCAAAAAGCCAATTCTACCTAATGGACATGGGCAGCTGCTGGAAAAACAACGGTTCACCCTGCGACGGGGATGTAACCTCCGACGTCACCCGATATAGCGAAATGATCATAAACCCAGAAACGGAATCTTGGTGCAGCCCTTCAAAGCTCGATGGCTGCCCACCCTTCCACACTTTCGCCAATGGGACCCGAGTGCATCGAAATGATACTAGAAACTACCCTTATGGTGCGTATCATATGCATTGCTTCCCGGGGAATGCGCAGTATGCTGAGGAGCCGTTCAATATTTGTGATCAGTATAGTAATCCTCAGCCTCAGGAAATTCTTCAGATATTGCCTCATCCTGTTTGGGGGGAGTATGGGTATCCGACGAAGAAGGGTGAAGGGTGGGTTGGAGATGCGAGGACTTGGGAGCTTGATGTTGGTGGGATGTCGCACAATCTCTATTTCTATCAGGTAATTTTCTTTATGATATGTTAAATTAGGATCAGATGTTGGCGGGATGTCGCACAAATGAAGCTGATCTAGCTTGATAGTAGTATCATGTGACACCATTTTGCTCAAGAAAGAGGATACAACCACTTAAAAACTCATCCCTCTCTACAAAAACTCAACCACTGATGATCCCCCCAAAAAAAAAAACACAGGATCACTCATTCACATGTTCCCACCCAACCCAGTCCCACTCAATAAGCAATCTTGCACCAGTGCACTGCAAGTTTGTACCCCTGCGATCACTTTTTCAGCGAGAGCCATTTTAGGTTGGACACTTGACAATTAATTTATTCATCAAGTTAACTTACGTAGAAAACGAAACATCTCCTATCTAGACTATGCGATTTCTAACATCTTGCCTCACGAACATGATCATATCCATTTGAAAACTAAGTGTGATGATCACTACTGGAGTAATTTGAAGTAGTATTTCTTTGAAGCATGTAGAGATTACATGTCCTTATACTAGTCAATTTTAATGGAATCATAGGTGCAAAAGCACATAGGGAACAATTTGATTATCAAAAATAAATCTATAGTCAAGAAAGAATGAAAAGAATAATTTCGGGATTAAGTATGATTGTTTGAGATGATTCAATAACTAAAAAGAACATGCTGTTCACTTTTTTATTAAATATGTTGTTAAATAAAATAACTATAATAAAGGTAATTTTTTTGATATATATTGAAAAAATTGCATTTAGCTAATAGTGTTATTAATGATGTGATTATAAACTTTTTTCAAAATAAAATATGGAAATTTGATGGAATTTTTTTTCTTTTAGTTATTACTTATGTAATGACATCACTTCCTAGAAATCCTAGATCCCGTTGCTTGACAAAAACACAATAGTTACTTTATCATAATACAGATAAAACAACCAAAAGTTTTCAAACTAGATGATATTGGATTATGTAGCACATGAAGAATTATACATAACTATAATTATATTTGCAGTTCCCAAGAGAACGTAAAAGTTGTAACTGTTGTGCTTGTAGTTGCGAAAATGTATTTTTTTAGAAATGACTTGTAACCAAATTGATAATATATTTGTTCGACGCAGGATCCTGGCACGGCTCCAACGAAGAGAAGTTGGCCTTCCCTCGACGTTGGCACGGAGATTTATATTAGCAACGTGGATGAAGTGGCTGAATGGACAGTCAGCGATTTCGACATCTTAATCCCAAAGGTTAAACCTGGATATATTTAAACTACACCTATAGAGAGATGAGATTCATTTCCAGAAGCTGAATTCTTTTTTTTTTTTTCACCTTTAAGGCCAATCAAGATAGGAACTAATCTTTCTGTAGAAAATATCAGGCTTCGGCATAATCAGCTCATTTATGCCTCTCCTTGGTCAAGAAATGTTATTTATCAAGTTTTTCCGCCTTTTTTCTAGTGCCTTATTTTTATATAATTACTGCCAACGAAATGTTTTTAGGCATCTCTCAAATTACACAATACATTAGCATACATCATTTTATTGACAAGATCATAAACAATCTTGGCGCTAGGATTCCTCAAAAGAGCAAAGAGAGATATCATACACAAAAGATATACATACAAGTGCAAACTTATTGATGTAGGATGCATAACATACAAATTCATGAATGAGCTGGATCATTACGAGCTAAACGCCGATACATACGCATAATTGACTTGTCTACAAAATAGACAACCATATCTCTAAATCCGAAAGGCAGATTGTGACATATTATACGCGTAGGTTGTCTATCTCGAACAGACGGAACCAACCAGCTTGTTAAATTTCAAAAATCTCATCAGAAGTTGGCAGAATTTCAAAAATAATCAGCTTTTTGTTTATTTTAGTAAAAGTTTAGAGTCTATTTAGGTTATGAAACTAAATCAATTTGATTCATATTGGGTTGATTTATGTCCTCTATTATAAGAAGTCTTTTAATAAATTTCTATCTTTTGGGAATTCTATTCATATCAGGAGTACATTTTCTTTTTCTATTTAAGAAGAAAGATTATAAACTTCATGCAAATTATCAATTTCTATCAATAAAGTTTTCCTCATATTATTTTTTCCATAGATTCCACATAGTTCTTTGTGGATACAAAGAGTACTCCTTGATGAATTTCGAGCTTTATCACCTTTGGACCGCATTAGTTATGTAGATGACAAGAGAAATACAAAGTCAATCATATAAATGTTTTGATCAACCAAAGAAGTCTATATCTTTAAACTTCATTTTTAATGGTAACTAGCACTACTTATACACCCTCAAATTTCTAAACTTGTACATGAATACCTTCTGTGATGCAAATGCCATCATTATTTCTCGAATTTTTTCATTTGACTCTTGATAGTTCTTGAATTTATTGTTAAACAACACCATAATTTTATTTTGAACTTACCCAATTATATTTTAAAATATAATTATGATGGTGTTATGGTGTTCCTATTTTCGCCAAAGTACAATTTATTGCCAAACACTAGACATGTGTATTTTCGCATACAGTGCCCCAAGCAATTTGGCGGCCCAAGCCCAGCAAGGATTTCGACTTAGCCGACCCGTCGAGTCTATATCCCTTCATGTCGACTCAACAAACGGTACTTGTCGTTCCCTTGTCAAAGGCGACTCGCCCTGACTCCACTTGACCATTCGTTTAACCCCTCACGAGGACGACTCGATGGGCGTTACTTCTCGGTGAAGCTAAAGAACTATTCTCGTCTCGAGCTTCTCTCTCTGGCAACGTGTCAGCATCGTATTTAATGCTTAACATGTGCCATCATGACTCTAGCCACGATAGTATTTGTGACTCATCGAGCCACGTTAGCACCGTTATACCTCTAATTACTTCACATTCAATGCCGAAGTGATCTTTCCCCCAATCATCCGCCGACACCTGTAAAGTAGGTGCTGACGCAGCCGCCAGCCCACACTTCGTCACCGCCTCTCACTGCTCGGCCAAAGTGACCAATCTATCCTTCTACCCATGGTATGTATACAGATACTATTTGAACTTCAAAGGGGTTCCAAAACTAGTTAAAAAACCGGTTCACAAATCTGATCTCTTAAGAGATATCTGCAAATTTTACTGTGCACACACAAAAACTCTCACAGTTCTTATTTACCTCACTCAAGCTCATCTGCTAACTTGATCGTCAGAGGTACAATTGGGGAACCAAGCCCCGTCCTCTCACGAATTTCTATACGTGCAGATTTTTCATCTACCTAGCTTAAGAACCAGACATAAAGTCAAAGAAGAAAGCGGGCCCTCATCAATCCTCAACAAACTCATCCAAACACGGATGCATATTGACTGTGTGATCACTTAACATCAAACCTTCCTACAGTTAGGGTCATCCCAAACCTCTCACCTGGTCAAACCTTCCTACAGTTAGGATCAAAACCAAGTTCCCTCTCCAACCCTTTCTAATAAGATGACGGGTCCCCAAAACTATCAAGTTAACTGCCACATCTGATAGTCATTTCTCCATCAATCTCATTCAACTGGACGATGGATCTTGTAAAACTATCAAGTTAACTATTACCTCTGATAGTCTCCTCCAAATTTCTCCTGTTGATCATCTCCAATAAGATGATGGGACCACTCACACTGTCATGTTAACACTATACCTCTGACAAATCAGCTTACCAATCCTCTTCAATAGGATGGTGTCACGTCCCGCTTCCCAAAATACCCAGGAATCGGGACGCGAACAAGCCCGTGACGTATTAGACTGAGGAGAAATAAATACTAGACCATTTCTACTCAATCTAATACGCTTAGCGTCAAATATAAAGTGCAAAGTCACAGGTCCCCGGTCATAATTAGCAAGAATATAATAAACTCAGAATAGAAAAGAGTCATATCACAAATAGTATATCATCCGAAACACAAAATTTGGGTCAAACATGACCTTATTACAAAACAGTCCAACTAAAGAAATATGAAAATACATAGTCTAACATAAATAAAAAGGAAGTACTGCAAAATTAAACTAAGTCCATCAAATGACTAAAAGAGTAATTAAGCTTCAGCTTCTTCTTCAGCCATGTCCGCAAAACACTCCTACTGAGAATACTCGGACTCTAGCATGTCTCCAAGCTGGACTTGTCCGTCCTCTAAGTCTGACGTACAACCCGAGAGAATATGAGTACGTCAGCGTGCATGGCACATGACAAGATCCCACAAGGAAGAATAGAAACGGTCGAACGACCAAATGCAATAACAGTAATAATAATAATAGAAGCATGGAATTAAAATTCTAACAATTTAAATGCAATCAACCACTAAAATAAACAGTAGAACCTAAAAATCAACCGGGTAACGAAATCATGTAGCTAGCCATCCTATAACAAGTCTCTGGTACATATCCCACATAGAGTCAACGTTCATATTCTCAGATAACTGACTGTTCATAAATCCTCTACGTGCATCTAATGCCACTACACGAATTACTCAGAGGACTACACGCAATCCGATTTCGGTCTGGTCCGAACTCAAGCAAAACTCGGGTGACTACACAAATTCACTAACCAAAGTAACTACACGAATTCACTTTAGCCCAACAAACCAACTCCAGTGACTACACGAATTCACTGGTGCGAGCCTACAAGATACATCAACAGTCACATCCGATCACATGAACCATGACTTTCTCATCCCCACTCTTCTTGTTTTTCTAAGTCAACAAACATGACCTACACTAGATCTCTGGTCCACCTCCTAAATTTAGTCAACGCACACACACATGTCACTATGTCTTGTTCATGACGCGCAAAGCTGTTAAAACCTAATGTCACTAGGAAAGAACCCTAGAGGGGGGGGGGAGTGAATAGGGTTTATGCTAATCTAATCCGATTTTATGCTAATTAAAAACTTATTAACAAGTTATCCTAGCAAATAAGATATGTAACAAATTATATGTAATGATAAGCAATATAAACAAAAGGTAAAATAGACAAACTATAAATGTGATAGGGCAATATACATAAAGATTAATAGACAATGACGATATAAGATAAATACAAAAGTAAATGCGCCAATGACAAACTCAAATACAAGCAAATGATCACGGAGTTCAGACCTTCCGTCCTACGTCTCCGTTCCCCACTCTCGGGGACAAATTCACTATCACACTGGGTTTTCGACGCTCACCCGAAAACATTTACACCTCACACTCGGTTTTCTAGCTCACCGAAAACTTTACAATCCCACACTCTTACAATCACACTCTACACCCTCTAAGTGTTGGTCTCTAGCCCGTGTCTCCCTCAAGTGCTCGGATTTACAACCTCTTCCTATGTTTTACTATCGACGTCACTCCTCTTAGGACGACCCCGTCTCTCACCACAAACTTCTATCGGTGTACAAGTGTATTACAAAGTGATCTCACAATTTAAGCTCAAATACAACAAATTTGTTCTCTACAATGGATGAGAACACAATGTAGGCTCACTCTCTAAGTCACACAAACCCACAACCCAATTATACAATATATGCAAATACAATAAGCTCAATGGTTGTATGTGTAAGCAAAGAGTAAAACAATTATAAACTCAATATAAAATCTAGCTTATGAAAATTAAGATAAAAAATAATAAATAGCTAGAATTGAGTTTAAGGAAACTTCTCTATAATGCCAAGAGAGAGAGGGAGATGAGTTGAATGCCCAAACATCAAAGATTATCTCCTCAAGCCATTGTGAAAATTTCTTCACAAACTAAACTCTTAAATACACTTTTAAAACCCTTAAACAAACTTGTAAAACTCTTTAAAACTTTTCTCTTGGTTGGTGGGAGAGATAAATGCTATGGGGTATTTATAACAACCCAAGACATCAGCCAAAACCCTAAGGAAATGACCAAAAACCCACACAAAAACAGAATTTTGAAATAGCCGTTACTGTGCAACGGTCATATTAGCGATCGACCGCAGCGCCATTGCCGATCGACCATGAAAGGCTGAAGAACAGAGCAAAGTCTCTGGACTTCAGGCGGTTGACCGCCGCGACCAATCCGATCGACCGTGAACGGATATTTCAGATACACATGTTTAAAACAGAAATGCTGATTTTTAAACTTGAATTAAAAATATCAAACAAATTCCAAAAAATGTAAAACTTTGGGGAATGCTTGTAAACAAGAAAATGAACATGTTACAAAAACTGGTTTTCAAATATCACTTTCCATTTGTGAAACCTCATCATTTACAAAATCACTTAAAATATGAAATCTCGAAAACACATGATTTTGCAAATAAACATCTCTAATCCATAAATGAAACCATGTTTATTTGCATGTATAGATATGAAACAAATATGTGTATATATATAGCTATATCCATTTGTTTCATATATATATGGCTAAACATATTGCTAAACAAAATCGATGTGTATATATATAGCTATATCCATTTGTTTC